CATTGTCTGGCTCATAGTCTCACAGCCATCTGCTCAGATGGCATATGCTGCCTCGTAAGTGGGGTTGGCAGCCCAGAGGACACTGCCATAGGCAGCTCCCTTCAGAGAAGTTCTATTTCTTCAACTCTTAAGCATCTTCCCCTTGATGAACCTGCAGAGGGAAATCTAACCTGCTGGCTAAGAGATGTGGGGACTCCTGGTCATGCTTAGACATACCACAGTCCATCATCTGGGATCTACTGAAGGAAGCACTGGGAAAGATTCAGGTTGGATATAAGGAAAACCTTCTCCAAAGGAGTGGTCAGGTGCTGGAATGGCCTGGGAGGTGGTGGAGTCACTGTCCCTGGAGGTGTTCAAGAAACATTTAGCTGTGGCACTAAGGGACATGGTTTAGTGGGGAAGAACTGGTGGTAGGTGGATGGTTGGACTGGGTGATTTTGGAGGTCTATTCCAACCTTGGTGAGTTTATGATTCTAAGCTATCATATAAGCCTTGAGAAGGCATCACGCTAAGCACTGTGCAAAGAGGTGCAATGAAAAAAATCAGTCCTTAGGCTCTTATTTCAAGTCTTCAGGTGATGGACACCTGTTAAGTCCTCCATGTTCACCAAAAGAGGGGAACATCTGGGAAAGAATAGCTGCAGGGAGTAGAATTATTATTATGGTCTATCTGGGTGACAATCAGGCCAGTGTGTTTCCACTTGCTTTATCCCTCCATCCACAATTATCTCAAGCTGATTTCTGGCACTTACATTTAAACATATCACTGATTTGCTGCTGGAACTTGTTCTTCTTAGATGCCTGTTCTCACAGAGGAGCTATTGCAGTGCGTAGTTAAGCCATCAGAAGAAGGGATACATGAAAATTGAAATCTTCATGCAATGCCCTGCTGCACATTACTCTTCATCAGTACTTCTGCGCTTATAATAAATACTTACACCTTTGAAGATATTTATTTGCATTTAAGAGCTTTAAAAATTATCCTGGGTTGAAAAGGATCACAATGATCATCTAGTTTCAACCTCCTGCTATGTGCCAACCACCAGACCAGGCTACCCAGAGCCACATCCAAAGGCTTAGATCCCTGCTACATGGCTGCATGGACTGTATTTCTGTACTACACATGGGTGTGCAAGGATGGAACTACTATTGGGACAATGCTGCAGCTGTCATTGGGGCCTGGTTAGCATCTAAGGCAGATGTAGACAGATGCAGTGGACCTTTCCATCTTATGCTTAGAAGCACCATCTACTTCTCCAGCAGGGTCACATTCCCCTTTTCCATGCCAGAAAACAGCTTTCAGCCCAGACCAGCATGCTCAGAACAAGTTTTTTGCACTCTGCTCCTCCTGCAACACCATCTCAGGAGCTACTGAAGATACAAAAAAATCAATTTCATCAAAAAGCACGAGCACCGGGAGTCTGGTGCGCATGCTGTCTTTAATCCCATCTGAAACAGAATGGGAAAGGATGACCTGCAGCCCGTGGCCAAACACAAACCAGGGTTTACAGCTGAAAAAGAACCCCAAAAAACCCTCAAGTTGCTAGAGATGGGCCTTAAAATCCTTTCTCTGGGGAACATCCAGCTCTGTGACTTAAATTCTAATGAATTCCTGCTAAAACGGCACTAACATTCTAAAGAACTAATGCCTTGCAATTTTTTTTCCCATCAAAACAACAGAGACTTTAAGGTTCTGAGACTGTAATTCTTGCAGATTTGGTGCACCTCACTGTAACAACACAGAAAAATATCACAGTGACGGGGAGAAATAGGGCTGACTACTCTTCCTTTTAAATCTCAATTAAAAAATACATTGGATGAAATTTCCCATTAGCTGGTACTATTTGTACATCCCATGTTCTTTCTTTAATTAAAAAACATGCTTATTGCAATACTGCCAGAATCGCTTTTACGGTATTTTAATTGTAATGTCTCTGCCTGATTAAAAAAAGAAAATATGAACTAGAAACTGCATGCAAAAACTATCACAATACATATTCCAAATGGGTTGAGTAAATGGCACAGAAAACACCACAGTGAAAAGATTTTCTAACCTTGGCTACGGACAAGGGATTTTAAAATAGGTTTAAGGACAGAAAAACAGAATAAAGATTTTATTCCATCTTTCAGTGAATTCATACCTAGTCTTTATCAGCACTGAAGCTGAAGAACTAGTGAAGCACTGCTTATCTGACATGCATGTATGCAGATGTATCGGCTAATGTTTGATGCTTTTTGCTAATAGCATCAAAACCTAGGAAAAAGTCAAGCAAAATCAGTATTTAGATTTCCTTCCTCTCCACATCTATGTGCAGCACCTACTGCCCAGAGTGGGTGCTCTCTGTCCCTGCAGACAGCCAAGGTCAGGCTGGATGGGCTGTGAGCACTGATGGAGCTGTGGGTGCCCCTGTTCAGTGCAGGGAGTGGGACAGATGGCCTTCCAACTCAAAACATTCTATGATTCTATGATTGACTGATGTAACATTTTCTCTTTTTCCTACAACGCTGGCCATCTCAAGGTTGCCACTGTAAAACAAATGGATTGCTGAATGCCTGAGACCCCACCAGAAAATACCTGCAACACTGCACCAAAATTCATCACCAAGCTAATCCTGGAAGAAGAACAGCCAGCTTTTCCAGTCTCCAGAATTCCCTCAAGGCTGTCCTATTCAGTACTAAAACTTCAGATAAAGGTAGTAATATGTCTGAGGCATCAACCCACCAAAGACAAATTAGTTACTCCAGTGGAAGCTCTGCATAAGGGAAATTTCCATCTGTCCTGGGCTACCATAAATATTACCATACTCATGATGCCGAGATCCCAATAATAACTGCAATCTGCTGAATTTACGTAGTTATCTACAATCTGTCTATCCTGTATCTCTTCCCCAGTCAGTACTGTCTGAGCAGTTTTGCAGTCTGGATATTAAACATTCCACTGCTGATAATCACGTGTCCATGCTCTGCTTGTCATGGGGGAGGCAGAAACTGGTGGTCGTCATGGTAGTGGGCAGGATCCAGCTGCTTAATCCCATTTTACTATTGCTTTAGCCTCCAGATCTTCTGTAAAGACAGTCTGGTCACTACCAGAACCTCTACATGCATTTGTCTGGGTGCTAATAAAGCCAAAGCAAGGTCACCTAAAGGATGCATGTGCAGCTGATGTCCTTGTTATAACAATCTTTAAGCAATTTCTACACTGTTGAAATCATCATGACTTCACCCTACACAAACTGTATCCAAAACCCTCATGGAGTTTTAAAAATAAGAAATCTCAAGAAATGGACCTACATCTTTGGGATGTGTTTGCTGGATACACCACCTGGATGGTAGGGTACAACAGCATCTTTGCAAAAGAGCAGACTCAGTAGCTTTACAGGCTTTTTTCATCCATAAAGTCTGTTTCAGGTTGAGTGCACAGGAAGCCTGGTGCTGAGTCAAGAAAGCCAAAGGGAGCAGAACTACAATTTAATCCCATTCTCCAGCTCCAACTACAAAAACACTTCAGCTCAGGCTTCAATCAGAGTGCGCTTCTACACTCGCCTGCAGGCCTGGGGTTTATTGTCATGCCCATTTTGCAGCTGGGGAAACTTGGCAATTATTTGACAAGTTCAGAGACTCAGGAGTTGTTACTCTAAGGGGATCGCCTAACTGAGATCCTTCTTAAGATGGATATCTATAATACCTAAGATGAGCATGTCTTTGGTGATGTGTGTTTCTCTAGATCAATACAGGAACCTAAACAACTCCCCAGAGCTGGGCAACTTAAAGAAAGGTAAGGAAAGATGACTCCAGCCTGGTCTTACACCAAAGCAGACCTCAGGATATCTTGACTCTGCATTTAAACAAGGTTTCCCCAGTCCTATCTCAGTGATAAATCTGCCTTCAAGTAGGCCCAAAGCTCAACAGGCTTCTGCTGCAAGACTGTGATCCAGTTCTTAAAGAAGACAGAGGATGAGCTCCCAAATTCCTATGTAGATTTTCAGCCAAAAGTCTCAGAAAATCTGAGCTTTGACCTATCTCTTCAACTTCACACCATAATCACACTGGGGTTAAGAAGCACCTTGCAACACCAAGCTTTACCATCTTCGATGGGGCAGAGAAGGGAAAAAATCATACTAAAGTGCTTCTTACTTTTTCAATCACAAATTCTTACTGTATTTTTTTTGTGTTCCTGTTTCTTTGCTTTCAGCAGGAACGATGCCCAGGGTAGCAGTTCTTGGCAGTCTAGACTGATCAAGTTCAAGCTTCATTGGAAATATTCATGCAATGTGGATAAAACCTGTGAAGATTTATCTCTGCAGAATGATCTTTCAAAATAATATCCCTTAATAGCTGTCAGATACGTTTTCCACCATTATCTCAGTGGAAAACCAGTCCCTTTAACATCCTTACAGTATTAAATTATTATTATCAGCAGAGTAGTCCTAGGTCCTAAAGCCTCTTCCCATTGTCAAGGTTCACTTCAGCTTCATCTTGCACACAGGCTTAACTTTGAGCAAGCAGCTGCACCAGAACAACTCATTCACTTAATACCAAAGACGTGCACAACAACTTTCACCACCAGGGCCTAATTTTAGGGGTGTGCATCCTGCTATAGAACGGTTTGAGTAGGAAGGGACCCCTAAAGGCCGTCTGTCCTGCACTGAGCAGGGACACCCACAGCTCCATCAGTGCTCACAGCCCATCCAGCCTGACCTTGGCTGTCTGCAGGGATGGGACATCACACCTCTCTGTGCAACCTGTGCCATCGCTTCACAACCTTTATCATAGAAACTTGTTCCTTATATCCGGCTCAAATCTCCCCTCCTTCAGCCTGAAGCCATTTCCCCCCATCCCACCACAACTTGCCCTGGGTTCCCCCCCCCCTCACACCCCCATGCTCCAGGATCCAAACAGCATAAACGACGCCATTTGCATACATACATACGGATTAAACTCTCCCCCGCCCCCCATCCCTTTGCACAGCCCGCCCTCGCCCTCCCCCCCGTCCCCTCAGACCTCTGAGGTGCAGCAGGTGCAGCACGGCGGTGGCGGCGCCCAGCAGCAGCGTCCTGCCCGCTTCCACCGTGACGTTGGCGCCATCTTGCGGCGGGCGGCCAGCGGGCCAGCTGGAGGCCTCGGCCCAGCGACCGCACAGCTGGAGGGCGGGCTGAGGGGAAAGAGAGAGGGAGAGGTTCAGAGCTCGTTCTTCCTGTTTGTGGGTCCCCAGGTGGATAAGGCCTCGCATTTGTACGCAGCAGTTCTGCAGAGAACAATGAACAGCTCTTTTCTCTGCCCAGAGTCAGGCTGGATGTGGCTGTGGGCAGCACAGTGCTGGTTGGCAACCCTGCACACAGCAGGGGGTTGGAATTGGATGAGCATTGTGCTCCTTTGCAACCCAGGCCATTCTATGATTCTATGATTCTACGACAGAGGAGGAAAGGCACACATTTCCCATATTCACTGCTTATCAACTCAGCTGTAAGCACAGAATTGCAGGTGCCACAAATTCCTGTCTGGCACAACCCCAACCAACGCTAGCAAAACACTGCACGATGCAGCAATGAAACAGTGGGATTCATCCAAACGTTTTGCTGAGCAAGTTTCTCACACGGCTCGAAGTCGATCTGACATCCCCCTATACTTCCCAAGCTGCTCAGATGCCCCAGTTAACACTAATGGCAGAACTGGGGCCTGAGGAATACAGCAGGTTACTCTTCTTGCTAGCACCGTGCACTTAGTAACCTGATTGGTAGCTGTCTAATAAGAGCGTTGTTTGCTTTTAAAGAGAGTTCCTCTTTCTAGCTAGAATATTCTAGGCCACAAAATGATCCCTGGGATGGAACACCTTTGCTATGAAGACAGGCTGAGAGAGCTGGGGCTGGGCAGCCTGGAGAAGAGAAGGTGCTGGGGAGACCTGAGAGTGGCTGTCAGTATCTAAAGGGGGGGGTGTAAAAAAGAAGGGGACAGACTCTTTAGGAGGGTCTGTTGTGATAAGATGGGGGAAATGGTTTCAAACTAAAAGAGGGGAGATTTAGATTGGATAAAAGAAAAAAGTTGTTTACAGTTAGGGCAGTGAGGCACTGACACAGGTTGCACAGAGATGAGATGGATGCCCCATCCCTGCAGACAGCCAAGGTCAGGCTGGATGGGCTCTGAGCACTGATGGAGCTGTGGCTGTCCCTGTTCAGTGCAGGGAGTGGGACAGATAGCCTTTAAGTGTCCCTTTCAACTCAAACCATTCTATGATTCTATGAACCTGCCTGAAAGGAGAAAAGGGATTTTGCTCAAAGCACTTAAAATTGCCACAGCACAGAAGAGGGTATAGAGGGGCTACTGGGAAAGCAGCTCCATAGAAATCAAGGGAAGACATCTGACCATGGGAGAAAACCAGACAGCTGAAGCTTTTACTTGGTGACCCTTTTCTTGTAGCCCGACTGCCTTCCCTAAGATGAAAGAATATTTATAGAAGATCTTTGAGTACAGGGCAATCTCTCGTTAAGGCCTTGGATAAATGGTGGTTACAGAAATATAGAATCATTATGGATGTTGGAGAGGGTCCAGAGGAGAGCCATAAAGATGATCAGGGGGCTGAAGCACCTCCACTACGAAGACAGGCTGAGGGAGCTGGGCTTGTTCAGCCTGGAGAAAAGAAGGCTGCAGGGTGACCTCATTGCAGCCTTTCAGTACCTAAAGGGAGCCTACAAACAGGAAGGGAATCAACTCTTTGAAAGGGTTGATAACAGCAGGACAAGGGGAAATGGTTTTAAGTTGAGGGAGGGGAGATTGAGGTTGGATGTCAGGGGGAAGCTCTTTGCTAAGAGAGTGGTGAGGTGCAGCCCAGAGAGGCTGTGGATGCCCCGTCCCTAAAAGTGTTCATGGCCAGGTTGGATGGGGCCCTGGGGAGCCTGGGCTGGTATTAAATGTGGAAGTTGGTGGCCCTGCGTGTGGCAGGAGAGTTGGAGCTTCATGATCCTTGAGATCCCTTCCAACCCGGGCATTCTGTGATTCTGTGTTTCTGTGATTATGGTTGGAACAGACCTCTAAGATCATCCAGTCCAGGTCCTATTAAGCAGCCCATGGTAAAATAACACAAACTGAAATACACACAGACTAATTGCAAATTCCTTATCAAGCAGAGTGGGTAACAGACTCACAGCTCTGGAAATCCACGCTCTGGTCTGTCCTAGTTAGTTTCCCTCCATGTGATCTTGGAGATCTTCCTCAGTTATCACACTTGTCTTGTCCAGCTGCCCCGAGCATGTTCTCAGGACTGCTGGGACATACTGGCTCACCTAAGACTCTAAAGACAAAACAGTGAGACAGCCACTTCATCTCTTGAAGTCCACATCTAAAACATCTCCACTGTGCAGAGATTCCAGCTTCTTCTGCCCACAGCTGAGCAGGATAAGAACATCTTTCCCTATTAGATTTTTCATGGACTCAATACCACTTCCTTTTCCAGTTCTTTTGTGCTGCTTGGCACTCAGCATCCAACCTATGGTTATTTAAACACTTATACAGAAGACTGAAAGGCAGCAGCAGCTGCAAGCACCGGAGTGATGGCTGAGTGCCCATCCCACCTGTGTTTGTTGAATGAAGCACAATGAGCCTGCAGAGCCAGGAAAGCTGCCTGCCTGTGGCCAGCAGTGGGCACTTTCCTCCCGTGCTTTCATCGTTTGCAGTATGGAGCATGACAAATGGCAGGCAGACAGAAAGCCAGGATGGGAGAAAGAGGAACTGGAATGAAAGGAGTTCTGAATGATGAGGCTGGAGCTGGTTGTGGCATCAAGGTGGTGGCTTCACACTCCAGTCCCAGCCTGGGACAGGTGAGAAATATATCCTCAAAGCTGCCTCAAACCCTTCGTTTGTACACGCAGAGGTGATTTAGGCAAAGCCTACTCTGAATACAACCCGGCCCCTATTTGGTCTGAATGGTTGGTTCAGGGTGATACATATTGTCTTGAAAAAGTTCTCAGTTAATGGTAAGGGCTGTGCCCAAGTGCCGGGCTCTGTGCAGTTCCCAACCCCACATTCAATTAGGTTCAGGATCAGTTTTTTCAGTGAGACCTCAAAGCTGCTGTATTCCTGCAGAGTTCATTAAGATCAGCAGATAGACTAAGGCAAGAGACTCTTCTGGTTTTTTTCCCAAGGACATATGTATAACACAAACTGAACTTTTAAACTGGACTCCAGAATGTTGAGGGATGTACCCTCACATTTGCTTTCCATAGGAAACCTGTTCTGGTAACCAAGCCTGCAAAATAGCTCCCTTCCCATCAAAGCTCCCAAACAATGACTCATTTAATGATAAGATTATATTTCAATAGTATAAAACAAAAGATGCACAGGCTCTTGTAGTTCAGCACACTATCCTCTGCTTTCCTCCTGCACCTTGTTTTTCCATTTTAAGGCAAATTTCTTTCCACTTTCTGTTGTTGGCTGCTGCTGCTGTCAGCCAGCCCTGAATTGCCTGCATGTCAGCCCTGGGGACACCAGCTCTGAGTGCCCATTTCTCAGCTTGTGACTACCAGGGCCCACAAACAGCAGCAGCAACTGCAACAAGTGAAAAAAAAAAATAGAGATATGTTTGCATTCCAACACAGGCTGGCAGACAAGCCACAAACAGAAGGGACCATAAGTCGTCATACCTTCAGTTTTTGATCTGAACTGTTGTGAATTACAATCACTCAAATAGCACAACACAGCAGCTGGTGAGCTTTGACTTCCCTCCACCAAAATACAAGGTAACGTTTGGGATTTAAAAGGTTGAGAAACTCCTGTTTAGGCAGAACATAGCTCATCTGATCTCAATTTGTGGTGACATTTCAATTTGTTCAGTTAAGTAAAGTCATAATAGAAGGACTGGATGCACTCAAGGCCAGGCTGGATGTGGCTCTGGGCAATTTGGTCTGGTGGTTGGCGACCCTGCACATAGGAGGGGGGTTGAAACTAGATGATCATTGTGGTCCTTTTCAACCCAGGCCGTTCTATGATTCTGTGACTGGTAAAAAGCACACAGAGCTGCATCCTCTGATTAGAAAAAAAATTAGCAGAAACTATAAAACCAAACCTCGTAGAAATGGTTGAGCTAAGCAGCACAGACTTTGCTTGCTGCTGTGCTCCATGCTCTCATTTTCTGGTCCCAGCCTGTATTTACCTAACACAGAAAGCAAACCGAGGTCAGGCAGGTTCCCCCAACTTCAGTAGCCAGCTTCATCCCTTCCCTAGACACAACCACTAAGGCACAGAGCACGACACCTCTCCAGCACTGAGATCAGCATCAGTTCCATCCCCAGCATCCTTCCTGCTATGTACAACCACCGACAGCCAAAGGTTTCGAACTTCTGACAGACTGACACACACGGGGCAGCATTTTCCTTGGTGCTGACAGATTGCCATTTAGCCAGCACGTATGGAGAGCAAGTGTTCCTGTCCTCAGTCACCACAGAGAGACAAGGTTAACATTTGAAGTGATGGAGTACAGTGTGAATTTCCCCACCCTGCAGACCCAGGACTCCACACCACATTTAAAAACACTGTAATTTCAGTGATGGATACAGGGAGCTCACTTTCCGGGCTGTGAACTCTTGACAGCTGCTCAGTTTAATACAACAGGAAAAGATTTACAGCCCCACGCAACCCCCACCTACCTGAGGAAAGAAAAAAACATGTATTAGGAGGAGACAAAAGAGGAGGGGAGGTATTTTATTACCCTAGATATCTTTTACAAGGGAAGTATTTCCAGCCATCTGCTCTAATTATTCCTCCTGTATTGGCCACCATCTTCATGCAACAATAGAAATAATTATCTCCTCAAGGGCAAAAAAAATAATAATATTTACAGAAACAAACAAAAGTTGATTATTTTTAGCTCCTAGGGAAACAAGAAACAACAAGCTACTTCTTAATGAAGGAGCAATTAGGAAGGTGGATAGAACATCTATAATTAAAACAGACAAATTGGTGGAGGCTCCTCCCTCCTACACATGCTTGAAAGAGATGCAAATGCATTATATTTGCTACAGTCAGTGGAGACAGCATACAACGTGCTTCCCAACGCCCAAATAAGTTGAACTTTCTTTTTGGCATGATTCCTGCCTCATCTGCTCTTGGAAACTCAAACCCTGGACCAAATTAACAAAAAATGTTCACCACAACTGCAAAGTCATAGAAATTCTGTTGGTGTATGTAGGTCTTTCACTGCACAGCCTGTATCTCTGAGACAAGCATGATAGGAACACTCTTTTATTCTGCTCTTCTATGTCTCCTGCATGCACGACATCAGTCAGTGTGAAAAGTATCCTTGATATAAATCAAAATCAAAAAGATGACTTCTGCAATCTTCTTTTCATTCCTGGCAGCGTACAAAGAGTTTGCTGAAGGCAAGAATGAAAGCATACATAGAGCTTGGTGAGAAAGAAGGATTAGGGCTGTCCCAGAGAGTGCAGCAAGCACCTTACATTGTGCAACACACAAAAACACCCAACACTTGAGCAGCAGAGAGCAACACCTTATTTGGATACAAATATATGTATTTACACACTCTCACCAAAATGAAGAGAATCCAGTTGACTGTGCCATGAAATCAAAGAGCACACAAACTGAAGATGATCAAGGGTAATGTGGAACGTAGAA